TGTGTGTGTGTGTGTGTGTGTGTGTGGCCAGCTCATCCCACAAGGGGGCGGAGCTGACTGGCATGTGGTGCAAGGGGATTGAACTGTGGTCCCTGTGCTTTGTTAAGCTTGTTCTAAGTAGGTGCTTTAGAGCACTGAGCCATCTCACCAGCCCCCACAACCATTTTAGTGACAATGTGCACCATCAATAAGATGGCATCATGGACTGCACAGTTCAAACTGATGCTGCAATGACCTGGGCACAATGCATGTGTACACAAACCATAAGTAAGTGCCTGAGAGTGTCGGGTCAGAGGGAGGGCCATCAAAAGCGTGCAGAGAACATAGGAAATGTTTTAAGAAGATGACCCCTCTGTTGGGGTTGCAGCAAAGTCAGAGCACCAGCTTGCCAGGAGTTCTAAAGGTTGGTATAGGCAACAGTCCTGGTAGAATCAATGCCACTGCCCAAAGTGCTTTTAGATAGCTCTTTGGAGCACAGGTAAGGCAGGCAGTTCGCAGGCATTTGTCTGCTGCTGGTGCTTATTTGCTGTCTTTAAGACCAGTGTGCATCTTGGAGGGTGGAGATCAGGAAAGTTCTATAAATGGAAGTACCTTTGTCATTTTCACAAATGGGCAAAAGTTTCCTGCATTACTAGAAAAGGGAAAAGACAGCAGAAATGGAAATATAAGGAGACATGAAAATATAGTGTGTTTGAAGAACCATGAGTAGTTTGTCTTGGTGGGTTTGTATCCTCAGAGGAGAAGGACGACTAGACCAAGAAATTGGTTAGGGCCTTCATGGTAAAGACTCCTTCCTGATAAGACTATGATTTTTAATTTTGTAAATGCTAAGATTTTATCAGAGCATTTTAAACAGAGAAACGGTACGGATTGATTTGAATTTTCTGAAGATGATTCCAAGGCAAAAAGAGTAGTGGAGAAGAAAGATTTAAAAAAAAAAAAAAAAAAAAAAAGACCAAGGAAGAGTCAGGGATGTTGGCACATATCTGTACTCTCAGAACCTAGAAGGCTGAGGCAGGAAGATTTAGGTCCTTTTGTTGTTGTTGTTTTCTATCTAAGACTAATAAGCATCCTAGAGAAAAATTATGAGGTTTGGAACACTGTCAAGGGCTGGGACTATATGAAAGACAGGATCACTTCAGAACTAGGAGGTGGAGAGGGCTGGAATTAGGAATTGACAACATGTGGTGATAAAAGAGTGTCAAATCCTGGCTGAGTACCAGGCTTCTCTATTTTACAGCTGATAAGTAGTTAACACGAAAACAAGACAGTGAGTGTATCTTTGTGAATAGAAGAGGAAGACACAAGTGCTTTCATTTAGAGGCATCCAGACAAGCTTGATTAGCTATTGGTAAGTAGTAAAGTTCAGTGTAGAGTGTGTGAGAAAATCTG